AAATCCATAAATTACACAAATTAATAAAAAATAACCTTGGAAAAGAGTTTGACATTACCTATAAAATTAAAGAACACATATACTCTATGACTCAGAACTCTCTCCACAGATACATGTGCCCAACAGTAATGAGGGAAAATATTTATTCACACCATCCCTTGGGAGATCCAAGCTGTAAATGATCCAAATTTCCACCAATAATGGAATGAATGAATAGAATGAATGAATAAATCATGCCAGAATAATGCATGGCAGTGAATTATATAATGCACATGTAGATAAGTCACACACAATGTAGATAAACCTCACAGAAACAACACTTAGCAAAAGAAGCCAGACACAAAATACATATAATTTATATTAAAAGTTAATAATAGCCAAAACTAAATTACAGTGCATAGGGAGGCATGCTTAAGTAGTAAATGTATAAAGAAAATGAGAAGGCTGGGCTATAGCTCAGGGGCAGAGAGCTTGTCTAGCATGCACAAGGCCCTGGGTTCAATCCCCAAGAATAACAAAAAAAGCCAAGAAGGTAAATACATGAAACCATAACAGTAGCCTTCAGAGGAAAGGTAATATACAATGGTTGCCAGGGGACACAAGAGGGTACAAAAGCAGTTTCTGCAGTATTGCAGATCTTCTCTTTCTTTCATTTTTGAGTGGGGGCATTTCCAAGACGTGGCTTCAGAATGAAGTTTAGGCTAGTCTTAAACTCACTATGTATTGTAGGCCACACTGCCCTCCAACTCCTGGCAATCCTCCTGCCTCAGTCTCTCAAATGCTGGGATTACAGCATGTACCATCATGCTCGCAACTTTGTATTTCCTGATCCAATTACACAGTTGTTCTCTTTATTTACTTATATTATTTTATTTTGGGTTTATTTGTTTTAAAATGAAAAAAGAATAAAAATGATCATACAGAATTTCAAAAAAAATAATAGGAGAATAACAATGATTAATACATCACATATTGCTATCTTCAAAGTAGTTCAGATTATAAGACATAGCATGAAAAAAAATGATTGAACAACGACAGCACAAACTGTTCTTTTTGATGAACTAACAGAGATTAGTAGTATAGTTATCTATCTTGTATATACACACACACACACAAGAATCCTTTCCCTTTTTTTTTTTTCTCCTTTCCCTTATTCCAGTTGTTCTTTCCTTTTGAGCAACTTCTTTCCCTTTCCTTTTCACAATATTTATTGTACATTTTCAGTTTTTTACACTAGGGAGACAATACAATAGTTACATATGTGAGCTTGACTTATTTCACTTCCAAGTACGGTCTCAAAGCCTTAATTTACCCTTCTTGTTTGTTTGTGACAGGGTCTTTGTAATTCAGGCTGGCCTTGAACTCACCATGATCTTCCTGCCTCAGCCTCCAAGTGCTGGGATTACAGGAATACACCACTATACCTAGCAATTGCTCTCTTTAGATAAATCTTTTAGCTGTTTATTCTTGTTTCAAGCACTTTTCTTGATTTGTTGTATTTCGTACCACAATAAAAAGGAATAAAAGACTCAAGGAATAGGTTTTAACATGATTAGATAACAGATAAAGCTAGAGAAAGATAAAAGGCCAGAGGAGGTGGTACACACCTATAATCAAAGCTACTTGGGAACTAGGGGTTTAACTCGGCGGCATAAGCACCTGCCTTGCAGGTACGCGGTCATGAGTTCAGTCCCTGGTACCAATAAAAAGAAAAAAGCTACTTGGGAGGCTGAGGCAAAAGAATGCAAATTTGAGCTCCGCTTGGGCAATTTTGTAACACTCTGCCTTAAAATAAAAAATAAAAAGGGCTGAATATGTAGCTCAAGGCTGTCTAAGTTCAATTCCCCCACTAATGGGGAATGGACTATAAAAGTGGCCTGAAGAAACTGAAGAATGATCTAGAGAGACTAAGGACACATTAATTTAAGAAAAAATTACCAAACACTAAGGATAGCCTGAAAAGTGTAGAACACATACAATTAAAGAGCAAGAAAAAGGAAAATAAACAGGATAAAGGCAAACTTCAAAGAAAAATTTTTAATTGATAAAAGGCATCAATCCTCATATCCAGATCTCTCTCTTAAGCTAAGCTGGAAATGAAGGGAAAAAAACAACATCTAGACAGCACGTGACTCTTCAGAACTACAAACGCAAAAGAAGAGTTTAAAAAGAGATACAAAAATGTTACCAAAACAAAAAAATTGTATTACCTACAAAAAAAATCAATATATCAACAATTGTCTTCAACAGCAAAAATGCAATGGAATACTGTCTGGAGTACGTTAACTTGATACGCCGGGTCTTTTTTTTTTTTTTTTTTTTTTGTACCGGGGACTGAACTCTCGGCCTCGTACTTGCCAGGCAGGTCTTTTTTCTTTATTCCCAGTACTGGAGATCAAACCCTGAGATGCTCTACAACTGAGCTACATCTCCAGCCCTTTTAATTTTTTAACCCTGAAACAGAGTCTCACTAAATTATCCAGGCTGCCCTCCAACTTGCAATCTTCCTACCTCAGCCTCCCAAATAGCTAGGATTACAGAGGTACAACCCTATACAGGGTAACAAGCTAAAATGTTATACCCAGAAAACTATTTTTTAATACTAAAAGCAAAATGAAGACATGTTTAGAACAATAAAAATAGTTGTTCTCACTGGCCATCAAGAATCGAATTTCTGGCCAGGTGTGGTGTGTTGCACCCCTTTAATCCCAACACTCGGAAGGCTGAGGCAGGAGGATCATTACAAATTTAGACTAGCCTGGGCTACAAAGTGAGCTCAAGGCCAGTCTGAACTTCACAGCAAGACCTGTCTCAAAAAGACAAAAATAAAGTAAAATAAATGAACTTCTGAAAGAGGAACGATGGGGTACCCAAAGGGGATAATGTAGAAGGAGAAAGGCAGGTGAGAAAGCGTGGAAAGGAAGGTGGATGTGATCAGTGCAGGTCATATACATGGAAACATCACAATAACACCCATTCACCTGCACAGGTAATATGTATTAATCAAGGAAAAAATAAACGTCTAAACATGACCTTCTGAAAATTATCCCAAAAAGTCTGACATACAAGGAAACACAGGAGAAGAAAATAAACTTTTTGGTAGATCTAAAAAAATATCAAACAAAATAAGAACAAAAGCAGTCATGACCAAATACACACACAAAGGTGAACAAAAGAAACAGGGAAAAAGGAACGGCGGGATACAGCAAGTGTGGATGACTTGTTCATGATGCTTTTCTGTGACAGCAACCAAGGGAAAGCAATCCTACCTGAAGGGAGATGTGGCATCCAGCAATCAATGTATAGCAAAAGACAGGATGAAATGAGCTCTGAACCAGCTGCCAACTTAACTTACCTGTGCCTCTGTAATCACACTTAGAATTCATTAAGTCAGTTACCATTACTACCCACTTCAGACTATCCTGTTGTCACTGAAGTTACACTCCACGTATTTGGAATAATTTGTGTTTGAAAATGTGAATTTTCCTAATCTATTAAAGCTTATCATTTATATCCTAATGTTGTCTTCTATTGTTGCTGATATAATTATTATAGAATAGTCTAAAAGCACTCAATCTTCCTTGATGGTCCAAGGCATTTATATAAGCAAACACTACTATTGCTGATACAAAGAAATACCCATATGCTGGTGTGCACCTATAACCTGAGAGGCTGAGGCAGGAGGATTGAAAGTTTGAGATGCCCGGGCAACTCAGCTAGACTCTATATCAAAACTTAAAAACTGGGGATGTAACTCAGTTCAAAGCCTTAGGTTCAATTTCCAGTAGGAGAAAAAGAAACAAAAACCAAACAAAAATCTCAGGAGCTATAAAGGCTTTTCTTTTGGTCATCACTGCTGGCACCCAGCAGCCTCTCCTGCCAACCTGTGATTCAGTGGCAGCCATACTGCCTCAGACCTCAGTTCATTACGTTTCCTGGATCATGGCTCTATGCTACATAGCCAGAAGGCGTATCAGGGAATCCTGGCAAAGTGCTACACTGAGTTAATAAAAGATGACAACTAAGAACTATTTATATTTTTAATCTCTATGAATCTCACTCAGTGACAGATTTACTTTTTTTTTCTCCAGTTTTTTGAAGCAGGGTCATGCTATACAGTTCAGGCTGGCCTTGAATTCACTGTGTATCCCAGGCTGGGCTTAAGCTCACAGCAATCTTCCTGCCTCAGCCTCTTGAGTGCTGGCCTCACAGGCATATGCCATCCCATCTGGTGGATTTACCACATTATCCTCATCCTGACTATGTAACAACTCCCTAAAAGTGACAGCTATTAGAAAAATTAACCAGATGGTTTAGAAACCCCTGAGCTCAAATGCTGGTTATTAGCTCTATAACCTGGAATACATGACTACACCTTTTTAAACCTCTGTATCCTACTTGGGAGGTGAAACATCCTGTAATATTAGGAGTACTGGGAAAATGAAACAAGCTGACACGAGCAGCTCAGCACAGTACATGGCTTAACTTACAAATTCACTTAAAGGTTCACTTATCTTTTTAAATCCTAAATCCAATAATAATTCCAAACTTAAATAGGACTTCCTAACTAACTTCCCTATAAGAAGGCTTTTGAAATATTAGCAGTAGTTAATAATGAATAAGCATTTACTAAGTGTTAAAACTGTGCGGAAACCTTTACAGGGATTATCCCCTTGACTCCTCAGAGAAGCCAGGCGGCTGGGAACATCACATCCCTATTACACAGAAGCACTCTGCCTCTCAGCGAGGCTGAGGAGTGCACTGCACCAAATCACAGGGACGCGGTGAAGACGGACACACACAGGTTCCTTTCACGCTGTGACAGAACACTCCCTTCTCCTGAGAAGGGCAGCAGCTTCTCTGGTTAAAACTTACTTACAAACAAGTTGAGAACAGGCTAATTCACCTTTCATCTAGTTTCTACTGACCATCTAATGCTAAAAACAGAGTTTTTTGTTGCTGTTGCTTCGTTTTGTTTTAATTTCTGCATTTTAACTTACCCACTCACAGTCCATTCCCAGTACTGGAAAATCTTCTAACTCACTCCAGAGCAAGGGCTGGATTTGATCCCATTCCGCCTCCTGAGACACTGTCACCACCTGTGCCTGGAGAATCCTTTCCTCCCACGAGGGTCTGGGGACACCAGAGGGCAGCTGATCCTCTTCTGGAGGGGACTGCACCGTCCCGCCTGGCACCTGCTGTGGCGGTGGCTGCTCCTGGGTCACAGGGTGCTTCCTCCGGCGCTGGATGCCTCTCCACAGGACCAGCCCCCCCACAGCCACACCCAGCAGGGTGGTCACTGTCAAAGCCATCAGGTTCTGTCTAGACATGTTCAACTTTTTACTGCTTAGGAAAACATGTCACTAATCCCACAACCTGCAAAACAAATGGCAAAAATATATTTATATACAGAATATAAAGGTATACATGAACAAGTTTTCCCCTAGAAAGTTCCACCTCTAACCCCTGTACTTACAAACTAAAATATCTGCTACAAATTTCCACATGAAACAGTAATATTTTAATTATTTTTTCATCTTTTTTAGTTTTTTACTCTATCTCTCCCTTCAGCCTTGCCCAAGACTCTCTTAACGATATCAATCAGAATAGGGTACACTCTTAATTAGGATTATTAGCAAATGAATTGTTTAGTTAAGGGTTCTTCTTCAAAGTGTTTGCACTTTAAAAACTTTAAGCTCCTACCAATTGAAAGAAATCTTTACTTCTCAGTTAACACTTTACTTGTCAAGTCAAGCATCAGTAAGCGGGTGGGAAGGTGGTTCTGCTCTTCCAGAAGGGAGGGAGACGGGCCTTCCTCTTGCTCCTGAAGCCGCAGTGGTTCTCCATAGAAACCGACTCAGTTACTGCAGGGTCAGGCAGCGCAGCACAGGAGGGGCAGGGATTGGAGAAGCAAAAGAAAAGAACGGCACTTAGAGATTCAAGATGCCCAGAAGGAGGTTTCATCTGAAATATCTACAGGGCCAGGCAGGTTAACAATAAAAAAAGCGCATCACAAAACAGTTCCTTTTGTGTTTTGTTACTGGTGGCTTTCACTGAGTATCTTTGGTTTTACCCACTTTTTTTTTTGTTTGTTTGTTTTGTTTTTTTGTGGTTTTTGTTTTTATCGGTACCAGGGATCGAACTCACAACTGACTGCCTGCTTGCAAGGTAGGCGCTTATGCTACTGAGCTAAATCCCCAGGCCCGGTTTTACCCATTTTTGAGAGACACATTGTAGCCATTACACTGCTACGTGAGTATGCCATACTATGCCAGTGCTATTTTAAAAACTTCACAATCACGTGATAATAAATGGTAAATGGCCTTCACATCAGAAGGACTTGGGCAGCAACCACTTGGCACAAGCCACGTGGCAAGCTGGTCCTGCGCAGTTAGATACTGAGGCTTATTCAGGACTTGAGCATCCGAATTTCACAGAAAATGCCGCCTCTCTGAAATGCTAGCAACAATGTGTGGCTTCTTTAACTACTGTGTCAGTGCAACAAAAGCAGGGCTACCTGTGTTCTGCAAGCTGGGTTGCCCTGTCTGTGGGTGCTGGTCTGAAATCTAAACTGCCCGAAGACAGCACTTGCCTAAGGCCACATCTCTGACTCCGGGTTCCCACTGAATATGCACTGTTTCGATCCTGTTCTTAATGTTTCACAACCCTGAATGATAGCATGTCTACAGATATTAGAACTGAAAAACAGAATCACAGTAATTACTACAATAAGAATAAAATATGTGAATAGCTATACTGTTTTTAAAAATTTACTCTATACACTGCACTAGGTACTTCATATGTATTTTCTCCTGTGCTTTTATTGAAGACAAAATTAAGGAATGACTTAAGGAAATTAAGTAGTCTTTGTAAGAGGAGGAAAAAGAGTGGAAGAGGAAGAGGAAGAGGAAGAAGGCAAAAAGGGAGAAGAAAAGGAATCATCAGGCACCAGAAATGGAAGAGGGAACCCACAGTAAGTGAGCATGAAACTGGGCAGAGAGCAGAATTCACAGCAGCCCCACCACTGGGCTCTATCATCAGCCTAGGAACAGAAGTCTAGGCTATATGCTCAGGACACCCTGGGGCCCAGCCAAGTGCTGCCCTGTCTATGAGCAGGGATTAGAAAGTGTTCACCTACTACGGTCCAGGTAAAGGGCCTTCCCAGGATGGAAGTGTTGTAACAGAGACCCTCAGGGTAGTACAGACCCTCAAGTCTGCAGACTGCAGGTACAAGTGCACATTCACATTATCCTTACAAAAAGAAACTAAATTAAAACTGGTTCAGAATTGGTGGACTCTTGCTGGAACTGGGCAGAGCCCACAGTAGCAGTGTTATATGTGGTACCCAAATTACTAGCACGCAGGAAACACACAGGACTTCCATAGAAGGCAAATCCCTAGATAAGGGCTCAAAGATAAAGTAAAAACCTAACAAAACTCCAATCCCAGTAATAGTTCATAGAGCCAAACAAAACTTTCCATACCTGCCTCTAAGAGATAGGAGGAAATATCTCTTCAGGAAAATATTCAGAGACATTAAGGAAAACAATCACTTAAACACCGAGCAGGAAACGAAAAATAAGAAGAAATTCTGGGTATTAAAAATGTTTTTCAAAGTTCTTTAAAAACTCACTACTCAATAGACAGGTTGAACAGTTGATCAGACACATACAGAGTGAGTTACTCAAGATAAATCTGTGGTTACTGTCACTTTCGTGTGTCTGAAACACCATGCTTGTTGCCACTCCTGTCTTGTACGTCTTCAGTTAACACCTAATTTAATGGGAAGTTGGTAAAATCCAACCTGCATGTGCTCATGACTTGGGTGGAGAATCCAGGGGATAAAACTGCTGGCAGCTATGTCGCCAATGCAAAAACAAATAGGCTACATGGACACGAAATGCCCCTCAAGGAGAGTGATATTGCTGGGCATGAGAGATCTGGGCCAATGCTTCTGTAGGAAATGGAGCTGCAAGAAATTCAGGATAGAATTTGGAGTCTGGAGTTATAACAAAGTTCCAGAAGAACAGAATATGACTGTATTTGAATAAGTTTGTATTTTGGTGCACGAAATAAATAAGTAAATATAGATTCTTATATACAAAAAACCAAGATGTTCCCTGAAAATAAGCCCTACTGCAACTTTTGGAGCAAAAATTAATACATGATCCAGTCTTATTTGGGGGGAAATGCAGTATTAGGCAACTACAAATCAAAGCCACAATAAGACACCACTTCACAACCATTAGGATGGGTCTCACAAAAATTAAAAAAAGAAACACATGATAATTAAGTGCTGGCAAAAATTAGAACATCCATGCACTGTCAGTAGGAATGTCATATAGTGCAGCTGCTCTGGAAGACAGTCTGGCAGTTCCTCAAAAGGTTAAATACACATTTGTCATACAATTCTACAAGCCCACTCTCAGTTATGTATCCAAGGGAAATGAAAATATGCCCACCAGGCATGGAGGTGCATGTCCACAATCCCAGCACTCAGGAGGCTGAGGCAGGAGGATCCATGTGAGTTTGAAGCCAACCTGTGCTACAAAGTGAGTTCAAGGCCAGCTTGAGCTGCATAGTGAGATCCTGCCTTAAAAAAAAAAAAAAATTTAAAAACAAGATTTGATAAAACTCAGTGGTAAAGCACCCCTGAGTTCAGTCCCTAGTACAAAATAAGTAATAGTTCACAGAGGCATTACTAATACAATGCTTTTCCTAAAGTGGAAACAAGGCAAATATCCATTAGCCGATAGAAGGATACATAAAACGTAGCATATGTTATGCATTGCACTGTGTTCCCCAAGATAAGTTGAAGTTCTAACCCCAGTGCCTGTTTCCTATGAATATGACCTCATTCACACTTAGAAACACGGCCTTTACAGGTGCAATAAAGATGAGCTCACACTAAGGTGAGGTGGCCCCTAATCCAGTGTGACTGGCATCCTCTAGGAAGAGGAGGGAGACACAGCACATGACACACAGGCAAGAGGCCATGTGAAGACAGAGGCACAGAATGGGTTTATGCAACTTCAAGCCAAGGAACATCAAGGACTGCCAACAACCCCCAGAACTAGGGAGAGCCAAGAAGGACTCTCCCCCAGAGCCTAAAGTTAGCATAGTCCTACAAAGGCCTCTACTGCAAGCTCCAGCCCCCGAACTGCGAGAAAATAGATTTCTATTGTTTTAAGCCATCTGGTTTGTTACTTTGTTACTGAAGCTCTAGAACACGAAAACACCACAGGATGAAATTTTATTCAGCAATAAAATGGAATGATATAGTAGATGCTGCAGCAAGCACAAACTTGAAAACCTTGTTAAATCAAAAAAGCCAATCAGAAAACACCACAATTTATACAAACATCCAGATCTATGAAGACAGGAGGATGAGTGGCTGCCCAGGCTGGGCCGTTAGGGGAGATGAGAATGACCAGTAACCACTAATGGGTATGGGATTTTGAGAGGTAATAAAAATGCTCCAAAATTAGATTGTGGCGATGGTGGCACAACTCTAAGAATCTACTAAAAATTACTGAATTGCACATTATGAATAATGAATTGTAAGATATATGAATTACATCTGAATAAACCACAAAAAAATATTCTGACAAACTGATTAAAAATAATCTGAAGGGAGTTTAGCTCAGCGGCATAAGCGCCTGCCTTGTAAGCAGGCAGTCGTGAGTTCGATCCCAGGTACTGATAAAAAGGAAAAAGACAAAAAAAAAATCTGAGCTGGGTATAGTAACATACACCTATAATCCCAGTACTCAGGAGGCTGAGGCAAGAGGATCACTGCAAATTCAAGGTGACCTACGCTATACGGTGAGTTCAAGGCCAGCCTGAACTACATAGAAAGGCCATGTCTCAAAATATCCAAAAATTTTTTTAGAAAAATATTCTGGAAAGCCAAGAATAGCCAAAAATATTGTTTTTAAAGTAAAGGAATATGGGGCTGGGGATTTAGCTCAGCGGCATAAGCGCCTGCCTTGCAAGCAGGCAGTCGTGAGTTCGCTCCCTGGTACCGATAAAAAATAAAAAAGACCAAAAAAAAAAAAAAAACCCCATAAAATAAAGGAATATGTAAGCTGAAAAAAGCATATGACTTTCAACAAAATAATGACATAGGAATATTTGCCCTACTAAATTGAAAGGATAAAATAGTCTACCTAGGATGTTTGGTACTGAAGTTCAGCAAAATAAATAATTAGGCCACAGAACAGAAGAAAGCCCAGAAACACATCCACGTATGTGAGAAACTAGTACATAATAAATGTAGCATTTCAAATTAATGGCACTAGAGCCAGATGTGACAATACACACCTATGATCCCAGCATTCAGGAGCTGAGGCAGGAGGTCAGCAGTTGAACACTAGTCTGGGCTACATAGTGAGTTCAAGACCAATCTGAACTGCATGGCAAGACTCAAAAATAAAAATAAAAAAAAACAAATAATTTATTGGGAAAGATACACCTGAGAAAACTCTGTTCTGCTTTAGAGTAGAGTGAACTATTTCAACCTCAGCACGGCTGCCATTTCAGACTGGAAAATTTCTGTGCTGTGTGGCACTGTGCTGTGCACTGCAGGATGGCAAACAGCATCTCTGGCTTCCATTCAGCAGATGCCAACAGTGGCATGCCCCAGCTGGACAACCAAAAGAGTGTCTTCGAGACCTGCCAAATGGCCCCTGCGGGACCAAACCTCTCCCACTTGAGAACTACTGGGTAGGGAATGATAGCCATAAAATACAAACACAAACAGAAAAGCCTGATAAATGGAAACATAAAATGTACAATGTTGTTTCAACAAAGATGCCATCAGGGTTAAAAATAAGCAATAACTTTAAAGAATACTAAGTGAGAGAATGGTGGCGTAAGCCTATAGTCCCAACTACTCAGGAAGAGGATTTAGGACTTAAAGTGACCTTCTCTCAAAGTGAAAAAGAGGAGGCTGTTGTGGTAAATCCCTATAGGGAAGATCGCAGTGAGTTTGTAGCCAGCCTGAGCTACAAAGTGAGTTCAAGGCCAGACTTAACTGCATTGTGAGACTGTCTCATAAAGACAAAACAAACAAACAAACAAACAAAAATAGACTAGAGATGTAGCTCAGTGTGAAGGCCCTGGATCCAATCTCCAGTACTGCAGAAGACTGGGGAGTGCACTGGGGGTGCACAAATATAGCTCCGTGAGAAAGCACCCGGCTAGCATGAGCAAGGCCCTAGGTTCAATCCCCAACACCACAAAAAAATAAAAATTAAAGAAAAAGGATCTACAATTGAACAACCCTTCAATCCCACTAGTAATGAGGGGAATACACACTAAAATAATGACAAGTCATTTTCCATCCCTAAGACTGGCAAAAATAAAAAAGTCCAATGCAGACCAAATGTCTAAAAAAGCCTACGGTAAAATAAACACTATAATACACTATTGGCAGGCAGTTCAGCAACATTAAATGTCCACAATTCCACCTACAGGAATAATTCCACCTACAGGGACAATTCCACCCACAATCCTTGAGAAATACTCATGTGGGCACACTGACATATAGAAGGATGCTCTCCACATATTATAAGCGGCGGAAAACTGCTCATAATTGGAAACAATTATAGATTTCCCCATTCTATGAAATGTTACCATACTACAGATCTTACTGAGCAAGTAAAATAGGTTGGTCTCCATATATTGATGAAGAAAATAGTTCCTGACCCATTTCTAAGCGAAGTTACAGGATATGTATAATATGCCATATTTGTGACCTGTGCACTATAAAACATTAATATGAAATCTTACATACATCTCACATGTACACATTTGTCAATAAGTGTAAAGAAATAGAAAAACAAAACTCGGACTACTATTAGTTCTTATAAGACAGAGATGGAAAAACTATGTACCAAAAAGGATCTTTCTAGTTTAAAGAAAGATGTTTTTACAAAACAATAAGCAAGGAACTACTACTAAAACAGATATTTTAAAATATATTTTTAAAACACAATTTGGCTAACTATAACCATTTCTCTCTCCATTAAATCTCTTTTATCTAATTTTATTTAATTTAGATGATTACCAAAACCTTTTAGGGCGGGAGAGGTGCCTCTGCCTTGGAGCCTCTAGGAATGCCGAACCTATGACACGCGTGCCACAGAAGGCTGTTTCTATCATTGAAAGCGCTAAAAGGTTCGCCATCACTTCAAGCATATTCATAGACCCTGAATTTAACCCCTGTACCACAAAAATAAAAAATAAAACCCCCATAAATTTTCGGTTGTGATTCCTTATATAAAATATACAAGTAGTTTTGTATTTTCAATGAGTGGGCACATAAAGGAGTTTAAGCATAAAGGCTTGGCTTTATTTTAATAAGCAGGTGTCACTTTGTAATGAATAAGGGTTAAGAGTCTTGTCTCGATGTATCCCACGAATGTGAAACACCAGAATTGGCATCGCGCAAAGCCCAGGCCGCGAATGCGGCCGGAAAGGTAACTGGGTCGGGGTGGTCCCACGCTGGAGGGCAGGGGACCGAACCGCCGCCGAGGATGCCCCGGGTGCTGGGGCCGGGCCCTGAGTGCCTGCTGATTGGATCCAAGGCGGCCCGAGGGTTCGGCAGACGCTCCCAGACCCGGGATACGGAGGCCAAACAGGGCGGCCCGGGAGGGCGTGGGGACCACAGGCCGGAACGAAGACCCACTGCGAACCGGTCACCGCGCCCGCCCAGCTGTGGGCGCCGGGGACAAGGAGGCCGCGCCCGAGGGCGGGGACAGGGGCAGGACCAATTCGTTTGTGAACTGCCGGATCCCAGCAATCTGTTGCCCACGCACACTTTGGTATCCCCACATCGAAACCCTTCTCTAGAAACGCCATCTGCCCCGCGCATGATCTCTGTGAATTAGCCGCCTGCCCGGAGCTTCGCTTACCTGCAGCTTCGACCCGGCCCGAACACCTGCGGCGCTCACTCTGAAAAGCTGGAACCTCCGCGACCGCCTGCGCGTCCCCACACGGATCCACTAGAGTCGTAACTACTTCCGGTCCGGCGGTAGCCGGGGAGGACAGAGCCCCGTCTGTAGGGTGCATGCGGGAGGCGCCATCTTGTACGGAAGCTTCTGGGGCAACTGATACCTTCCCAGCTATTCCACTGCTGGACAAAGGACCTTTTAAAGTTGGAAGGCTTGACATCTCTTCAGGAAAACGGTGTTTTTGTTTCCACGATGGCATTTTTGTTTTTTCCGTTTAGTTTTGAAAGAAGATGTTTATAAAACCCTCCAAAATACAGTGTAAGGCATCTAGTTTTCATCTATTACCTTGGGTAGTGTTTCTCTACTGCATTCATTTTCTTAATAATTAAATGACAGTAAATAAAATGATTAACTGTTTAGATCATACATTCTTCATTTGCAGCGCATATTATCCTATAATCTTTAATAGTTTATGCCATATTTTGTAACAGTACGGTACCTCCTGTTTATACATTAAATCATTCAGTATTTCTTAGCAAGTGTTGTTTGTGAGGCAACTGCTGTGTGCTTTATGCTGTTCCTTTGTCAACAAAAGGAGACAGCCTTGTTGTGTACAACAAAAGGAGAAATGAGATGTACCTAAACAATATAATGGCCAGGTATGGTGGCTCTTTGTGATCCCAATCCTTGGGTGTTGAGGCAGAGAATTACCCTGCGTTTGAGGCCAGCCTGACTCTGTCTCAAACAAAACAAACAAACAAACTATAAATATATGTGCTTGCTTAATATATTAGGAATTTTTATTTTATTTTAATTTTTTTGAGATAGAGTCTCGCTGTATTACCCATACTGATCTCCAATTTGTGATCATGCTGCCTCAGCCTCTCAAGTAACAGAGATTATAGACATATACACCTATGCCCGGCTCTCAGTGTGCTAGGAACTTTGTAAAACATTTTTAATTATTCAATGGCAGTTAATCCCCAAACAGCTCCATAAGGCTGTACTATTATTAGTACTACCATATGTGAAAAATGCCCTGCTGTTAGAAGCCAAGGTGTTCAGTATGCAGGAGTAACAACTGGAGAGGAGCCCTGAGGAAGCTCATGGACTGCTGACTATATCCTGTTTCTTGCTTGTTTTTGTTTTGTTTTTTGTTTAGGCGGCAAAGTCTCACTGTGTAGCCTAGTCTGGCCTCAGATCCTGAGTGCTGCAATTAGAGCATTCAGTACTCCTGCCTTGTATCCTATTTCTTAATTCATGCTGACAGGTGTGTTCATGTTGCAAACTGTGAGCTCTTTTTCTGGATACATCTTTGCCTCAATCAAAAATTTGTGTTTTAATTTATTTTTGTGGTACTGGGGATTGAATCCAGGGCCTTTGTAATGAGCTAAATCTCCAGCCATTTTCTGTCTTTTGTTTTTGTTTTGTTTTGTTTTGAGACAAGGTCTCTGTTGTGGTTGATACATTGTATCCACTTGAGAAGTTCAGAAGTTTAACTAAGAGACTCAGCAAGGATCAGGATGCTTACTTTGTAAATATCCTCATTCTGTGGAAGAGGAGGGCACAGAGATTTTGTGAGTGTTAGGTTTGCCTTGGGGGTTAAGGGAGTGGCCTGCATACATACATATATAAGGGAGGGATCTGTTGCTACAAGTTCAAGAAAAAAAAAAAAGGGAGGGAAAGAAGTTTGTGCTATGCCCTTTTTATTCTGGCTGCTTTTGCCCTGGGTTTAATCCCCACTACAGGAAAGGAAAAAAAAAAAAAAAGAATAAAAGTGAAAAGTGAAAAACTTACTAACTCAAGGGAGGGGCAATGAAAAGTCATAATAGCAAATCAAACTGTCCATAAAATAATAGAAGACAGAAATTAGATTAAAACCGATCCCTGAATCAAAGATCTAAATGTTAAAACAGCCACAATCTACTAGAAGATAAAATAGGTACAATTTTTGCAGACCATAAGCATAGGCAAGGACTTTCTGAACAAAATCCCAGTGGCACAAGGAAAAGTACCAATAATCAACAAATAGGATCACCCAAAATTTAAAGGCTCATGCACAGCAAAAGAATCAAGGAACACAGGAGACAGTCTGCAGAATGGGGTGAAGGGATAAGGAATCCCAAGGCTCAAGGGATCAGAGAGAGAGTGAATAAGGCCCTTACCTCTGGGTGAAAGGAGACAGCTACAGAACTGAGACTCTGGGGGTAGAAGTGTTGAGGGTGTTTGAGGAGTTGAGTTTAAGTCCTTTGTTGTGGAGTGTGTGTTACGTTACCAGGTCTCCTAACTGCCACAGGTAAGTTTCAAAAAAGATTTTTTTAATTATAAAAAGAAAAAAATACAACAGAATTTTGAAAAAAAGTATCTAGGGAAACATATGAAAGCTATTTAGGAAATATTCAAAGCATAGAGTCAATATACTTACTGACTGTATGTTCAAAATATAGGGAAGCTGACTCACTGACCAAGTCTTGACCTGCTGGCCCACCGATTGCTACAGAGCTTGTGGGTCAGAGTTCTATTGTTGTCCTTCTAACACTTCTGTTCCAGTAGATTCTTTGGAGTAGTCTCAACAGATATCAGATTCTGCATCCAGGTTTGCAAGAGGACAAGACAAGGGTTATCTGTGGGAGTGCTGGAGCTGGAGGGTAAAGGGTGGCCAGCGGACACCGAGGTCATAGAAGAAAGAGGGCAAAAAAGACTCTAGTTGCAGCTAATGGACTGAACCACGTACAACTACACTTCCTCCTGAAATCCCCCTAAGACAATGGTAAACACACATTAAAATACAGAGCTTCGAGGTCAAAAGATAGAAAAACAATTTGAGAACAAAGGCTATTTATTCAGGTGTATATAGTAAGGGGTCAACTACCATACTTCTACTAGGCAGGACTGAAGGCAGGCAGAGTGGGAACACTTTACAGTGAAAACAGGGAAGGGTCCAAAGGTCCAAGTACTCGGACTGGAGACCATTATCCGGACAAAGCTAGAGCTAGACTAACAAGCAGCTAGGCTTCTTATATAATTATTATCCACTATAATTGATAGCATTAGTTAGTTTCCTGTGATTGATTGTGAATTGGAAGTGGAGGCAAAATATAGGGAAGCTGACTCATTGACCAAGTCCTGACCTGCTGGCTGATTGCTGGAGAGCTCGTGGGTCAGGGCTCTATCGTCATACATGGTCTGGATATTTTCTGCTTAATACTTAGTCCCTCAGAGAACAGATCAAATCACTGACATTTTGAAAGCTGGGAAGCAGAAAGATACTGGGAACAGACTTAGGAAACTTTGTTATCTATCAAAGGCACAGCCAAGAGCAAGCCTGATCTGCCCCAGAGACCATCAAAGGCTCAAGAATTGGCAACATAGGGAACCTCAGAAGCAGAGGGACCAAAGGTGGGACTAAAATCAGGATAACTGATTGTGTCAGAACAAAGTTACAACAAGTTTCAGTGTAGATTTTTTGACTTTCATTTGTGATTCATGAATTGCGGCAGCCTCTGTGCTACAGAATAGAATAAGAATTCCCACTGGGCCATACCAGAACAGTAGATTTTGTAAAGTAAGAACAGAATCCAGAAAAAATAGAAAAAACTTGATTGGTTAACAGTTATGAGGGCTACAGCAAAGAGGATTTTCTTATTGTACTGTCTCAGAATGAGATCTCTTTTTAGGAGAAACTGAACTATTTGGGGAATCTATCTACACCCTGGAAGCCTCAGTGTGGTTATATGGGATAACTGAGTGACTCTATTTTAATTTGGTCTTGTCTTTAGAAGCCTTGTCTAATCATGACTTCCATGCAAATAGGAAATGAATATGAACTGTACAGTGAAAACAGGAAAGGGTCCAAAGGTCCAAATATTCTGATTGGAGACCATTATCCAGAGAATATTCCTGCGATTGATTGTGCTACAATATTCATTTCTTTCTTTCTTTCTTTTTTTTTTTTTTTTTTTTTTTTTTTTTTGTCTTTTTGAGACAGGGTCTCTATGCAGTTCAGGCTGGCCTTGAGCTCACTTTGTAGCTCAGACTGGTTTCGAACTCGAAACAATCCTCCTGCCTCAGCCTCCCAAGTGCTGGGATTACAGGCGTGAGCCACCATGCCTGGTTTACAATATTCATTTCATATTTGCATGGAAGTCATGATTTCTCCTCTTTTTAAAAAGTATTTTTCCAAAAAAATGTTTTTCTTTAATAAGTCTAATTCAGCTACTTGTATTTGGTAGAGATATTTTATAGTAAAAGAAAGAGTTAAAAAGTTAGATTAGATAGAAAAAAGTATTCTGTAAAAATCACTACACTTTTAAAGGTGAATAAATGATTGGTTTCTTAGAAACCTTAATCTTATCAGTTTATTAGAAATTTAGCTAGACAGGTGTGGTAGCCCATCCTGTAATCCCAGCACTGAGGAGGTTTAGGCAGGAAGATCATCACAAATTCAAAACTAGAGCTGTAGTGAGACCCTGTCTCAACAAAAACAAACACCAGACACACAAAAAAAGAAATTTGTATATGTATTTTATCAGAAATTCTAATTTCTTCCTAGAAGGAAGCTTCTAATTACAGCATACAAAAAGACTACTTCTTAATTTGGGTTTAAAATTTTTTTGCTTCTTTTACAAGATGATGACTTCCTAATCTCCAGTCCAAAATTATATCTCTAAATACCTACTGTGCCAGTGCTGCTAAAAATAGGAAAAGAAAGTCATCCTACAAAAATGTTGCGGGAACTAAAGATGGCGCTTAGTGACATAAGTGCTTTACATACTGGCATGAAGTTTTATCTAATTGAGGACTAATAAAAAAAAATTGTACACAGTGTGGTGCATATATATATGGTTAGGGCTGGGGATATAGCTCAGTGGCACAGTGCCTGCCTGACAAGCACAAGGTCTTCAGTTTGATTCTAGTACCAAAAAAAAAAAAAAAAAAAAAAAAAAAAAAAAATTAAATATCATTCAGCCTTAAAAAGGAATAAAATTCTGACATGCCATGTGCTATAATATGGATGAACTTTGAAAATATTATGCTAAGTGAGATAAACCAGACACAAAAGGACAAATACTGTATGATTCTACTTATATGAGTTATCCTAAATAGTAAAGTTC